GCATTTTTTAATGTTATTTTTTATTTTTTTTTAAATCTGCTTTTCAAAATTTTGTTTTTCATTTTGCTTTATTTTTAATTTTATTTTACATTTTCAATTCGCATTGTTTAATGTTGTATTTTATTTTTTCATTTTGCTTTATTTTAAATATGCTTTTTCACGATTTTGTTTTTCATTTTGCTATAATTAATAAAAAAATATTCAAAAAATTTATTATTTTCAAGTGAAATTAATAAACCGCAAAAAACTATAACTAATATTTCTATAGCAAAAAGTCAAATAAAAATGAATAGTTTATTCTTTCTTTGAAGTCACCTATTATTATGCAAAAATAAATAAAAAATTTGTGAAGTTGATGTGAAATAAATTGTAATAAATACTGTAATTTACCCAATTCAATCAATTATAAAATTCCAGATGAAACGAATAAATCAGATATAATAAATTCGGATGAAACGAATAAACTGGATTTATTGAATCTGGATGAAATAAAAGAACCAGATATAATAAATCTGGATGAAATGAAGGAACTGGATATAATAAATCTGGATGAAATGAAGGAACTGGATATAATAAATTCAGATGTAACGAATAAACCAGATTTATTAAATCTGGATAGAACGAAAGTATTCAGTTTTATTCGTATCTAATCCAGATTTAATAAATATATCCAATTCAAAAGTATTAAAATAATTATAAATTATTTATATATATATATATAATTTTATTTTTTAAATAAAAATGAATTATAATAAATTAAATTAATTTAATGATTATTCTTATTTAATTTTAAAATATAAAAAATTAAAACTTTTAAGTTTAAATTAATAAAAATTTTTTTTTTTTAAAAAAAACCTTATATAATTTATAATATAATTTTATTTTTATTTTAAATTCTAAATTTGAATATAAAAATAAAATATAAGCATTTTATAAAAAAAATAATTGTTAATTAGTATTGCTATTTTAAATTAAAATTATGCAGTTTTAAATTTATTGAAACTAGTTTAGTTAAATATTAAAACTAGTTTAATTAATAATCAAAATTAAATTTAGATTTATTTAACTGAAACTAATATTTAATAATTTAAAATAGCATTTATATTCCGAAGTATAATTATAAATTATTAATAATATCTAAGTAAACTTAATAAAATATAATATTACATAAACTTACTATATATTTTATAATATTATAAAAACTTATGAGATCACTGTAAGATTATATAAATTATATTTTCGTTATATTTTGTAATATTTTGATAAGGTTCTAAATAATAAATATATAGGTAACAATTGAGTTTGCTTAACTATCATATGGGAACGTTTCCAGTAAAATCAAGTCATGAGGCATAGTAAATCATATGATCCGTAATGTGATTTTACTGGAAACGCTCCCATATAAAATATTTGTTAAGTTATATTTTATTTTGCTTAGGAAAAAATTAAATTTTATTAAATTGATCACATTTTTAAATATATAATCAAATAAGTATTTAACCAATCTAATATATGAATTTTTATAACAAATTTTAAAATTTAAAATAAAATCTAAAATTGAAATTCAAATTTAATAAGACTAAAAAATTGCAGTATATTAAACTAGATTTAAAAAATAACTGAAATTTGAAATTAAATTAAAAGAAATTGAAAATTATTATATAACTTTATTAAATATTTATAATATATATAAAAGAATAATAATAGTAATAAATATAACTATAATATTAATGATAAAATATAATAATATTTATATAACTATATTATATGTAATTATATTATATTACAAACACAATTATAAACATATTATATATAATATATATAACTATAATACTAATGATAAAATATAATAATATTTATATAATTATATTATATGTAATGATATTACATTACAAATACAATCATAAACATATTATATATAATATTTATTATTATTGCTTATTTGTGATATTTTAAAAATAAAATAAAATAATTACAAAATAAATAAAAAAATTGTATATAAAAAGCCTAATTCATAAGAGTGATAATCAGAAGTAAATTGATAAAATATAATATTTTTTTGTATAATTTTTATAAAAATCAAAAACAATTTTATCTCTAATATAAATTACTCAATTTTTATTCAATTAGAATATTTAAATATTTTTTTAAAAAGTAATAAAATTATAGATTATATATGAAAATTAATCTTTTAAAAGTAGGTTCTAAGACAGTAATAAATTTTGAGTAATTGATAACTACTAAATAGTTATATCATAATAAACATTTTAACTAATAAAAACAATATTAAGTCTAATCAATTAATAAGAGAATACTATAAAAAAACTCTCTTATAACTTATTAAAAAAGAGAGTAAAAAATCTAATAAGAAAATACTTTATTTTGCTCTTTAAATCTATAATAAATAAATAAAATATTTAATATCTTTTATATTAAAAATATTTCTAAGATGTTAAATTCAATACTGATAATTAAAGTTAATTCACCATCTTGATAAAGGTAAACAAAAAAATATCAAAAGATACTTAAAAAATAATAATATCTTTATTAAAATTGATGAAAGTTTAATGTATTAAAAAATTTTTTTAACATAAATATATTATTCATATAAAGTTTTGATAGACTAAAACTTTCTTTTTATGATGTTTTTTTTCTTAACGAATTTCTGAAACTTTATTATAGCAAAATACTTCATTTTTTATCAATTTACTTTTTGAAAAATATGATACATTTATTATAGCAGTTATTGCATACATTGCATATATCTAATAGATCAATTATAATACATTATAAAAATTTTCTTTATAATAAAGAAAAATGAGATCATGTGTATTTAGTATTATTATCAAATTAAAAAATTGCATATTTCTTCTTCTTAATATTATACTAATACATTCATTTATTCTTATATAATTGATTAAAATTACAAAAATTTTCTTAACTTTAATGTTAATAACATTATTAGTAATAGTAATAATGTCAGCAATAATAACATTTTGGTAGTAGTGATAGTTATACATGAAGTTGAAATGGATCATTTCGGATATCCGAAATGGTCGAATCGGTCGAAATCATTTTGACCATTGAAGGCTAAAGTCGCGAAATAGTCGAAATGACGTCATATCACATAATTTTTCATATTTAGAAAAAACAATAAACAAAAAATGTACGATTTCGGTCAATATTGCACCGATTCGTATGATAATACTACCATTCGATTCCTTGCGACTTGACAAATCCAATGAGCTAACATTCATTGATTTTGGATCATCCAATCGCGAGATAATCGCAATTGTATTATCGGCCGAAATT